CCAGTTACCTTATGCAAGGAACGGAGGCCTTTTCAAGTAACTGCCTAGGCACCCTGGGCCACCAGTGAAGAGAACACACTGGTTAGCTCAAGAGGACAGCCCTATTGATGGATATGTTTGTTTAGAAGTATTGCGAGGCTTCCAGTTTGGTAAAATCAGGAATTGTAAATGAAAGATGATAAGGGTTGAAACCATAAATTCTGAAAATCTTAATCCTATTATTATGGTATTAAAATATAATTTATCAATATGAAAATTAAATAATAATATTTATGGCCTTTAATTATAAGTAATGATTATGTAAAAGATTATTTTGTGATATTCTGTGATAGCAAGAACCTTCCCTGAAAAATTATGATTATGTGAACTCTCAAACGAAAAGACTTTTGGGCTGAAATGCTGAAAAATTCAATGACTCTAAAAATTAAAAATTTATTCAAAAAAATTGACATTTAAAAATTATACTTTACGTTACAAAAATTTTGTGATTTATGCTTTTTTTTTTTTTTTTTTTTTTACATTTGCTAGTGCTTTAACTCTTTCTCTTTAAAAAGGCTTCTCTGTCGCTACGCCCTTTTCTTTTTGAAAGGGGGGAATGTGTAAGATAAAAAATATGAAAGCAAACTTCTAAACTTAATTCACTATAAACCTCTATTATTTTCTATTTCATTTGGGAACTTCCTCTATCTGTCCTAAAAATAGCGCTTAAGTCTAAACTGCGTCATTCAAATTAATCATGCGATCTTACTTAACCCATAATGCAGATGCCTCTCGACCAAGCACCGAATTGCAAACCAAAACTTTTCTCTTCGCGTGCTTCCATTCTTCATAACTACGTTTTTCAGCTTTTGCACTCTAGTGTGCTAAGATGTAATTTCGCTGGCTTGCTTTCTATCTTAACAATATCAAAATTGTAAATCTTCTGTGGAAAGGCACGACTAGAGTGCCAAGTGATTGTGGCCACAAATATCAGTTGCAGCAAATAAAATGGAATTAAAACTGCCTCGACTGCCAAGTTCTTTAGATATTCCAAGTTAGCATTACTAGCATACTACGCAATCAAAAATCTTCTTCAATATGGGTCTAATCACACATTGGACAGTGTTCCGTCTTTTCCTTGTGCTTTAATATCACATATAAAACAAAGGGAAAATGGCAGCACTTGGCGCACTTGGCAATAAGTGGCACTTGGCGCAATTTGTTCCGCCATCTTGAATCGGCGAAATATCACCATGATATCCTCGGGAAGGATTTTTTTACGCCAAGAGGGAAATGGACGTGAAAAGGCACGCTTTCCAAAATTCTTTCTTCAGCCCAATATCGGGGGGGGGGGGGGTAAAAGCTCTGCTGGCCAAAATCACGTAACTCAAAGTGTAGTGTTTGCATTGAGATGATAAGCCATTTAAGTAGAACAAATTGTAAACACGATTAGTTATTGTTGTGATTAAGTAAATCTACGTACTTTTTTTTTTCATCTTAGTTAACTTTATTATGATATATAGTCAAAAGTCGTTAATCCGGACTCGTCGGGACTTCGGCGATTCTGGATTATCGATTTTTCCGGATTATAGATCATCAGTTTAAATCTGGTAAGATGGCATGCAAAAATTACAAAAGTAAAAATATGAAACCGTAATTTATGAAATAAAGAACAATTATGATCTAAAGGGTATCAAAATTTACAAAAAAAAAACTTAATATTTATTTGTTTACTTATTAAACATTTCCTTCAATGTAAGTTGCTTCGTTTCATGTGATAATACTTTCTCTTTAATTCTATTAAACAGACATAATTTCTTGTTTAGTTACAAAGTTCCGCTGTTCAAGTCCTATAATTGCTGTGTTGAGAAATACCGACTAATTTGTCAATCGAAATGTTTTCGTTTTCAATAACCTCTGGGTCACTTTCTTCACTATCCGAAGTGAATTATAATGATGAGGAACTTGATTTAAATCATATCAAAGACCAGATGAAATACTAAACTTAGTACGGAATTATAATCCAAATAAAATAAAAACATCTGCTCTGAAGATAAAGATAGTGTTGACAGATCAACTTCCAATCGGTGGCATGAAATTGATAAACAGATTTCGGATTTGAAAACATACTTTCGCTTTGTAGATACAAATTACATATTAATAAATATATATTGGAAATTCTATTTGACATATCTTTCTAATCTATCATAATCTAATAATGACGTTTCTGCCCCCCCCCTCTGCCGCAGAGCAGGGTGGAAATTGATAAACAGATTTCGGATTTCAAAACATACTTTCGCTTGTAGTAAATATATATCGGAAATTCTATTTGACATAATCGAAAGTTCAAGCTTACTTTTATAAAATTGCTCTAACAGTCTGCAAAAAATAATAAGCCGGATCCAATTCGAAGATTAAGGAACAACGCAATCTGCAACATTAACTGAATTAGATAACTTTAGCTTAGCGTATAACTCCGTTACACATTAAACGCGCATGCGCACAAACATATTCGCAGCCGTAAGTGTCTTACGCGCCCTCGTAAACGCCTGTGCGCATGCGTGAACGTGACGCATGCGCAGAAAGTTTGTAGCTTTGAGGTCCGGATTATGGGTGTCCGAATTAACGACTTTTGACTGTATATAACTCCAGCATTATTAACTTTTATACTTCTCATTTTTAATTCTTCCCATTAATTTGAATAATTATAAAAATGGTTATACAGTACTAAGTCTGAAATCCGGACGTCCATTATCCGGAATGATCTATAATGCAGACTTCAAAGGCACAAACTTTTTTTTTTGTATGTTTTACGTATGCGCGTAATGTGTTTAATGCGCACTTCCCATAGTGAAGAAAGTGACAGAGAGGTTATTGAAAACGAAAAAATTTCGATTGACAAGTTAGTTGGTATTCTCGACACAGCAATTACAGGACTTAAACAGTGGAACTTAGTAACTGAACAAGAAATTATGTCTGTTTATAAAATTAAAGAGAAAGTATTAGCACAAAAAACGAAGCAACTTACAATGAAAGAAATGTTTAATAAAGTAAACTAATAAATCTTAAGCTTTTTTGTTTGTAAATTTTGATACCCTTTAGATCATAATTGCTCTTTATTTCATAAATGGTTTCATATTTTTAATTGTATAATTTCTACATGCCATCTTACCAGATTTAAACTGATGATCTATAATCCGGAATCGCCAAAGTCTCGAGGAGTCCAGATTACGGACTTTGTACTATGTATGTTTGAAAACATATTCTTTAGATAAATGCAGTAATAATCACGAAAATGTGATATATATCATATACAGTCAAAAGTCGTTAATCCGGACTCGTCGGGACTTCGGCGATTCTGGATTATAGATCATCAGTTTAACTCTCGTAAGATGGCATGCAGAAATTCTAAAATAAAAAATATGAAACCGTAATTTATGAAATAAAGAACAATTATGATCTAAAGGGTATCAAAATTTGCAAAAAGAAACAGCTTAATATTTATTTGTTTACTTTATTAAACATTTCTTTCAATGTAAGTTGTTTAAGTTTTGCTTTGCATTTCATGTGATAATACTTTCTCTTTAATTCTATTAAACAGAAATAATTTCTTGTTCAGTTACAAAGTTCCGCTGTTCAAGTCCTATAATTGCTGTGTTGAGAACACCGACTAATTTGTCAATCAAAATTTTTTCGTTTTCAATAACCTCTGTCACTTTTCTTCGCTATCCGAAGCGAATTATAATGACGAGGAACTTGTTTTAAATCATATCAAAGACGGAGCATATTGAGATGAAATACATTTGGTAAGGAATTATAAGCCAAATAAAATAAAAACATGTGCGCTGAAGATAAGGATAGTGCTGACAGATCAACTTCCAATTCATTACGCGCCCTCCGCGGCGTTCCCCTCGCCGAGCAACGTGAAATTGATAAACAGATTTCGGATTTCAAAACATACTTTCGCTTTAGATCCTTTACATATTAACAAATATATATCGGAAATTCTATTTGATATAATCAAAAGTTTAGCTTACTTTTATAAAATTGCTCTTACAGTCTGCAAAAAATAATAAGCCGGATCCAATTCGAAAATTAAGGAACAACGCAATCATCAACATTAACTGAAATAGATAATTAGATAATTTTAGCTTATACGTCAATTATACATAAAACGTGCACGCGAAAACGTATTCTGCACTTGCGCACACTCATACGCGCAGTCGTAAAAGGTCTTACGCGCACGCGTAAACTGAGGTCCGGATTATAGATCATTCCGAATTATGGGTGTCCGAATTAATGACTTTTGACTGTAGTTAACGATGAAAGTTTAAAATAAAAAAATATGCATGTAATTCCACAATAATATTATACTGCATCCTCAAAACATATTCCAGGCTATTCAATCATCCAATCAGGTTTATATTTTACATCCCAGATTCTTTTTATGCTCATAATTTCGATTAATAAGGTTAAGAGGTTTATTTTTATTCTTTTTTTCTTGTTTAATTGCAAAAGTAGTTTTCATGTAGGCAACCAAAGAAATGTAATCCTGAACTGCAAAACTGCAGGGAAACAAGATTTGTAACAAGCACTTCTATGCCTTTTCACGGCGTTACGCAATTGTTTAAATTTCAGAAAGAGACCAATCAAATAGAATAGGATAAAGTTATTCGAAGTCGTCTGTATTTATTCCATGAAAAGTTAAATCCTAAAATATATTTTGGTGCAACTAAAATATTATTTGTGTACAATCTGAACATTGTCTATAACAGTGGTTTTCAAACTGGTGGCCCCCGAAGCAATTTTATGTGGTTGGCGAATGCATTTCAGTTATGCATTTGTTGCAAATATAGTGATGCAAAGATTTCTCCTCTTTTACTTATTTGAAGTTTCTGTTTATTTTGCATTCATTACTATTAAACATGAATATGAGTAAAATGTCAGAAAAATATAAATCGTTTTCAACGATTTGAAGATACAAATTTAATTAAGTTACATTCGTTTCTTGTGAAAAAATAAAGAAATGCTCATGTTTTGGCCAATGGTTTATGATGGGTTAAAAAACTGTTTTTATGATACAGGGTGTCTTTCAGCAGCTGAAGGATAAAACTGTTGCATACTGGTAGTTCGTCTCAAGCCATGGCTAACAGACTTTCCTCTCCTTATGCAAATAGCCCGGGAGTGCTTTTGATATTCTAAATAATCCTAATTGCATTTACACAAGGACCTAATTAGAAAAAAGGCATTTGGTTAGATTAAACAAACGACTTCCATAAATTATATATATATTCGTATTAGAAGTACAATTAATTTACTTTCCTGTTTGTTATGGCCAAACTCCTATACATTTAAATATTAAGTAGGTAATAAAAAAATTTTCATTCTAATTAGAAATTATCTGGAAATACGAGCAATAAGTTAGAAAAAGAGTATATTTTATTCTATAAAAATGAAATAATTTTATTCTGATTAGAAGTGTAATTATTTTATTTAGAAATTAATTATATGTAAATACACATGGGATAATGTGAGCCATAAGTAGGGAAAAGAAGCATATTTTGTAATTTTCGTGTATAAAAATAAAATTATCTTATTCTAATTACAAATATAATTAATTTATTTAGAAAATAATTAAACAGAGAATTCAAAGTGTCTACTATAATTATACTCTGTGGTACTGACAAAGTCATGTGATCATCAGCACACAAGATTTATCTGCAAAGTCACGACACCCAATGCAAAGTATCAACCATATAGAAAGAAAATATCCCTTTCCTTTTCCCTATCGCCCACCAGCGGCCGAGCGGTAAGTCGCTGAACACTGGTAGTTCGGTCCGAGGTTCGAATCCCGCGAACGGGCTGGCTGCATGGCCGTTTTCGCGGTTTTCCCCATGTGTAACGTGTATACGAGCCAGTTTCCCTTAGAAAGTCCTCCACGAAGGCATCTCTCCCCTTAGGCAGATAGCCCTAGTGTGCTTTGCCGTAATTAACCTTTTCGCGACGGCGCACCTTTGTTTAAGACGCTCGTGCAGGACGGAAGAGAATCAAAGGCAGTCACCGTACAGGACGGAGGTTTTGCATCGCTAAAACCTCCGTCCTGTACAGAGCCCTTAAAACATTTTTTTCTTTATTTTACATGAAAATATACTTAAAAAATTGCTTATCTTCTAAAATAATTTTTGGAAGCATTATTCAAATTATTACAAAGTTTTAATTGATAAAATCCATCAATAAAGTTTAAAATTAATAAAAAGAACACAATAAAGACTATTTACAGTAAGAAGTAACAAAATTTAAAATGAAAACGAGTGTGGTAAATCTCGAAGCACAGAGAAGTATCACTTTGTAACTCTTAGAAAAAGTATCACTTTTTAAACTCTTTAGAAAATGAATCAGTATTCTCATTTGCGTTAGTAAATGGTTCACTAACCATACGAGGATATTCTTCCTCTGATAAATAGCGCCTTCCCGCCATAATAAACTGGAGGTAAGGCTTTCCTAAATAAAAAAAAGAAGGAACGGAAATATATCTGAAGGCAATGCAAAACGTAAAAAAACTCCGCACAGTAACCCTAAAAGACCATACATAGTAGAGGGGAAAAAATAGAATAAAAAAAAAAATTGGATATAAATCAGATACGAGAATGTTTTCATTAGCACGCAGCGATTTAAAGAGCCCACCTCTGTTTATGCTTACCCCCCACCCTCGAACAACTGATGAGTAAAATACCAAAGTCAAGCAGAATATATCAAAGTCAAGGTCAGGAACCTAAAACTGTGTTCATTTCAAAAGTAATGGACACAGGACACCATTTAGTGACCTTTAAAACGTTCCACCTTAAAATGCGTATACGCATCACCCGTCCTCTGAATGCGATCTTTACTGATGCGTGGTTGGGACGCCCGTCCTGAAAGGGTTAAATAAACCAAACCAAATCCTATCTTAGTTATCTTAGTCTATCTTAGTTAGTATTCCCTATCTTAGTTAACATCTGGGCTAGCAACCTAAACACTCTTCCCATTGTTTGGCACCTATCGCCCAAGTTGGCGAACGCGATTTCAGGAACCTTACCAAGTGCCTGTTATCTGAGTATCCCCAAAACAAATAATATAAAATGGTTAACCCTTTGATGCGCCAAATATTTTTTAAATAATTTTTTAAACTAAAAACTCTAGAAATTGAATGTTATGACCATAGAGATGAATATATGAATTAAAAAAAATCCACTCTTGCCTATTATGTTGGAAAATATAACTTATTGTAAACCTTTTACTGCATCATCTCTCCTCCTTGAAATGTTTATTTAGTTTAGTTCTTATTTTAATGTAATATAGTAGTTACTTCTACTTCTTTTTCTTACTGCCACTGTTTGCGTTGAGAACGGACTGTTTCAGCCTAATTAAGATGCAAAAACGAAAGTGATGTTACGTCATCTGGAAAGCCGATTCGTGCCGATAGCTAATTGGTTGCCGTGAGATGACGTCATGCCTACTACTGCTATAAGTATCTCGCGTCGCTCTGGCTCACTCCTTCTAGTTCTCCTTCTTTTAGTTCCTGCTTTCCTGGCACTTGAGTGAGCGGTTTCCAGCCCCTTCAGAAGGATACATGCAGTCCGGTGAATAAAGTGCCTTGGTTTCGGTTTGCGGGATGGCTGTTCCTGAATAAAGTTCCTTGGTTCATGTCCACAAGATTATTGTTCCAGAATAAAGTTCCTTGGTTCCAGAGATTTCTACCATATGAGTGACTGCCGTGGGCGGCATCCATGTTCTTCAATAAAGGCGGCATTTAAAATACGTGAGCGGCGATTCCTCGTGCAAATGGAGTTAGGCTGGTTTTAAGTGCTTTCAAGAACTTCATTTAAATTTTCAGGTGTTTTCTCAACCATTGATCATGGACGTTTTGAATGTGTAGCCAACTTCATTTTTAGGCCGCATAATTAATGTTTAGGACATTTTTGTTTGTATTGAATGCCAGTGTTTTGGAGACCAGGTAAAAATATTATTTGATGAATGATGGTTATATTATATTTTTCCTAAGACTCTGATATTGTTGAATTTATTTTTTTCTGTGGCTTTTATTCTTTATTATATTGTTAATAAATTGGTTAAGTTTCAAAATCTTTTATTGTCTTCAATGTCTGCACAACATGATATCTCAGGGAGCTTTTATTGCTACTACTGCTAAATGTTTAATTTCTTTAAACTTTAAACTTTGCTTTAGCATCACATTGTTTTGTAGGTGGTGGTCGCACTGTGAAACTACCGCGCATCTAGAACTTTGAAATTTACTGAGGTAGTAGGGGGAAAAAACTTACCTTTTGCCATGCGCATTTTCAATAAATGACGAAATTTATGAACTTTTTTTTTTTAAATGTATGTAAGAATTGCATTATATGTCATTTTTTTACATTATTTTACAAAGTAAATCGTCAGGAAAAATTTAAAAATAAACATTTATGTAATTTTTCTATAGCAGTGAAAATATAAGTGTCTACATAATAAAGACGTTCAGATAAATGAATTAAAAAACTCAGTAAAATAAGGATTAAAAAAACTTTTTTTTTTTTTTTAATTTCAAAGAACTTTTTTTTTGGGGGGGGGACGCTGTTCAAAGCATGTTTTGTCTTTTTGGTACATGCGAAGAACCACATTGCACGTTTCGCTCATGTATCTTGTTCTATCCAAAATGTATACTGCCTGGATCTAAATTTCAATGGTATATGTCCAGCATTATTTAATTTCTTTTCATCTGGCCCATGAAATTTGTGGGGTTTTTTATGTTAAATTGGGGGGGGGAAGCTTTGACTTTTTGATTTTGGTACGGATCATTCGTTTCCCATTCATACTTATTTTATGTGTATTTTGTCCCAAAATATTCAGAAAATATTTTTAATTTAAATAAAACTTCATGCGATTTCTATTTTTAATTACACCAAAGTATATTAAATTTAAACCACATGAAATAATTTATAAAATCACAATACTAGTTTGGGGAGCAAGTGTGTTGAGGTCAGAGAAAAGTCTCTGGAAAAGAAATACCTTTTTATTGGGCAGGTGTATGTATTGTTTAGTAATAAAATAACTCTGTGGTTTCAAAGCCCCTTATCTATATCTGGGTAAAAATAAACATTCCTATTTGAGAACCAAGCAAACGCCATTATGAAGAGCAGTGGTTTCAAGGCACGATCACCGAGCCTCTAGAGGATTGTGAGCATTGCGACATAATGCTCTAGTGGAAAGTCGTCGCGCCCTGAAACCACGAAGCAAATGCCATACATATAGAGAGTTTTTTTATATATATGCAGTTTAATTATTGCAATTTTTTATTGTTTATGATAGAAATCATGATGTGCGATGAATAGCTTTTGAAATTTAAAGTTGTTTATATTAATAAAAGGAAGTTATTTTGCCTCATTGAAAACGAATTTTAAAAGGCATCCGATTTGAAATACTAAGACCTAAAACATGTACGATTCTGCAATCATTTTGTGTTATTTAGAGGTAAAAGATCAGTAATAAATTGATTTTCACTCAAAACTTTTAGAAAGAAGAGGAGGAAAAATATTTGAAAATTGGTTTCAGACAACACTTCCTTACAGAAGGAAGCCAGGACACTGAAGCGAGAGGAAGCTCTGATGTCACAGGTAGTCGTCTGACGAACTTCGCTCCTTCCAACAAGTTCAAAGCCCCATAGTACTGCCGAACGATGAACGTCTGGCGAATCTTTTGAATTTTTATATTAATTGCACTCGCGATGTTATACTTTCGTAATTCCATTGGATTAAATAACATGTGCTGCAGTGACATGTTGTGAAAATGATCCAAAAGATCTTTTTGAACCTTCGAAGTGAACTTAAACAAGCAGAAATAAATAGACAAGAAGTCTGCAAAGCAAAGATGGCTACTAAGGATAAAAAGCAAGTTAGATTTTGTTGCATTTTTCATATTTTTTTATTATTTTTATTGATAGGTTTGTGGTATTTGTTTTCATTATTAAATTTTAGTTTATTGACAACCTACAAGGTGAATGTTTACCATTTATTTGGCCAAAGAATTTATAAAAATCTTATTTGTTTATTTTCTTAATATATTAAAATCCGAGAAATATTAATCATGCTGCTTATAAATGACAAAAGGGTTGAATCTTTGAATAAAATCCAACCCAAATATCTATATCAAATAGTGAAAGCAATGTTAAGTACGGCACTAGTATGTAGCCTATTTCGTTTCTTTGCCTTCTCAAAGTTTCGACTCGGACAACTACTTGCGACATCACAATCCAGTGTCCTGGTTTTCTTCTGTTATGAGGTGTTGTTTCAGGGTGCGAACACTGCACGTCAAAGAGTTAAATTGTACTACAATACATATATTTTTTCAAGGCTGAACCAATTTGGATGAAAGCATGTTATGATTCAGATGAAAGGTCATGTAGTTCCCACTGATTACAATGAGGTGATTGATGAGTTATGAACAGGGCTCTATGGCATTCCAGATGTACTCAAATTAATATCTGGCAACTCAGGAGATACAATAACAAGCTAAATCCATCAGCATGGTTCTCAAATCAATACAGTAAAATTCTGGTGTAATGATAAGAAGCACCATTCACCTGGATTCCTGTGGTCCAGACAGAAGTAATGAAAGTGTATATTTGTATGTTAATCAAAAACATCCTCCACTAATCGACGAGATTTTCTGATCCAAGAGATCATGGGAATGTCGCCTAAAATATAATACCTCCACAATCAGGTCGTTTATATCCATCCCGTGGGTACATGTGCCAATCAATTGTTTACCTGGAAGAACAGCATATCTTTACACAGGACATTGATGTGATGCAATTGAAATCTATCTGATCCATTATCTTATTTCCATTGTTGCATGATCCAAAACGAGTTTCACAGCCCAATGCAGCCATAGACATTGATGATGCTGGGCACACAAGAAGGGCATCTGCTGCAGAATCTTATATCCAACAGAGTCCAATGAAGTGTAATAGACATATATAATAAAAGCCCAATAAACAGTGAGCTCAAATATACTTGCTTTTCCTTGGTTCAAGGCTCATTAGCTGAGCCCTTTCTGCAGTGACTTATTTGCCTTCACCAAGCAGGACAGTACATAACATCTATGAATGTCCAACACTGCAGTGTCTATTTACTGTCCTTATACTTTTCATAGGTACTAAAAATGGCAGCTTGCAACTACCTGATAAGAAAGCCGTTTAAAAAAATACTCATTCCTAGCCTTCAGCTCATTATAACCTGGCCTTGATCAGAAATGCTTAAAACAACAGCCTTCACCTAAAATTTACATATATAGTCAAAAAAAGATGTCTCAGCATCCTCAACAGCTATTAAATAAACTTCCCACTTTGTCCCATGCCATGCACATTATTCCAGCATGTATATTTTTACAGTTTAGGACAGTCTAAATTGCTTTTGCTGATCAGCATATACATTTACATACATACATACATGTATAAAACAGGGGCTCCCAATTGAAAGGGAATTTGATAGTTCAGAGAGGAATGCAGTCAGCCTTTTATTTACCCATTATGAATTTACAGTTATTTTATGCATATGAGAAACTACTTTTATTCACATTTTGGGATTTTTCAACATTTTTTATGCCTTTTCTCACTCAATTTATAAACGCATTTAAACATAATCTAAATTTCAATAAATGTATATGTATTTTTCGAATTTTTTAATTGCAGAGGGAGGGTTAATCACTCAGCATTGGTAAAGGAAGTGCATGGAATAAAAATGGTTAAAAACACAAATATAATATTACTAGGTACATGATTAAGTACAACTTACCACTTTACAACTCTAAGATTTTCTTTCTTAGGAAGAATCTGATTCATGTAATCATCCAAATAAGGGAACTGTTCCAGTAGCTTCGTGCGAATACCTTTTTGAACAGAAGATTTTAACTGTGTAACTCCAGATACATGATCTTTTTCATCAAATCTTTAAAGGCAGATAAATCATTTTGATTAAAACAATTTTTTAAAATATTAGAATAAAACAAATAAGTACAAATTTAGCCTGAAGTTACAAGTGTCATCATAAAATAAATAATATAATTTAATATTTAGCCTGAAGTTACAAGTGTCACCATAAAATAAATAATATAATTTAATAATAATGGTTATACATGAAACTAGAGAAAGGTACACTGAGACCACAGCCGGCGCCAGAACGTGTGCAACCGGTGCAATCGCACTGGGCGGCAGAATTCAGTGGCGGCAAAATTTTTAGAAGCAGGAATCGGGTGGCGAGTTTTGGATTTGCGGAGTTCGCAACGGACGGCAAAATGGTCCAACGCCGGTCCTGCCTGAGAATAATGGAACGAAACTTCTAGTTCTATCCACTTTCCTAGATACTTAATGTTACTTTATATTGTTATAAGCAAATTTTTAAGAGTATGAAAATCAGATATAGCAAACTGTATGAATATCTTCAACTGAAAGTCTTTAGGTCTAATTTTACATATAAACTACTAATATGTCTATATATATTAGATTTACTATAATTTTTAATCATGAATATAGAACCATGTAAAATCATGAATTAATCACAGAAATTCGTTTTCAGTGATGATGTATTCAGTATTGATATATTCGGAAAGCAGAATATAAACATAGGATTAAATAATAAGTTTATCACATTTCATATGTATTTCGTCCATAACAATGCAAACAAAATATTACTTACTTTTTAAACATTTTGCAAAAATTAAATATAATGTGAAATTCCTAAGAATTAAGTCACACTTTTTATCATAATTCACAGCTCACATGCATTACTCGAAATCGTTGCTCGCAGAAGATCTTCACAAGAGGAACGGAACGGAAGGATAGGGAGGATTGGAGGATAGGAAGAAGAAATAGGAGGAATTACGAGATTTTCTGGGATGTAGGAATATCTACTTTCTCGACAACTTATTTCGCGTAAGTTTCGGCTCATTCTTATTGCCGTTTTGTACGATTTGTGATTTTTTCATGAATTTATTTTAATGCCGTGTTTTATATATTTTTACATTGCGCTTCATTCGTTTGAATTCATTAAAAGTATGGTTTCCAGATTTCCGGTTGAGCACAGGATTCCACTGGAAACCAATTTCATTTTAGGGATGTGCTTGCTCTAAATTGAGTATTTTATTGAATAAATAATTATTATATGTGTATGTTTTTCAGGTTTTTTGCTTCTCCGTTCATTCATTCATTCATTATCTTTATTGGAGTTCAGGACATCTGGGTACCTAGGCTAAGAGCCTTACCTACATTAGATATCTTTACGAACATTGTTAGAGCATAACCAATACATGTATAGAAGGTTTTTTTTTCTCCCTCATATTAATAAAGTTGGGTTTATGCATATTACAGATTTAGCATTACTATTGTTGTTCAATGTTAAAAAATAAATGTAAGGACTTATAGTTAAAGTTTTACCTCATGTTTGAAATTTTTAAAGTGAATTGGTAAAGCAGAAGCAGAGAGCCGCCGAGCTGGTGATTACCTGGAATAAACAGGTTAGTGAAATTTTTAAGTGAGGTTGGCATCTCGAATCCAAGATAATAGATATGGGAGATAAGAAGCAACATTACATACGAGTTATATAAGCACATAAACAAAAAGACAGATTAGTATAAGCAGTGTTACATATTGCAAACATAATAGCAAGTGCCTAGTAAATAATGGCAAACAAGTGACAGGTTACATGATCCAGGGATTCAGGATGGCCAAAGGACGGTTAATGTTAGCAAGATCATAGGGGTTATAGCTGGCAATTTTAACAGCAGAGTTGTGAACGGTGTTCTGCTTAGCACGAAATCTTTTGGCAATTTTGTAGCAATGGCATCTAAGTTGTCAGATCCTTAGCTCTTCGTGAATGCGTCGGTTTCCAATGTACCATTGTGCATTGTAATTTGTCTCAGTGTGCTATTTTGAGCAGTTTGCAATCTTTTTCTACCGTTACTGTTAGAGTACGCCCAAACAGAGCAGGCATAACAAAGTAATGGTCGCAAGATGGATTTATAAATGAACAACTTATTATCTATAGACAAAACACTGTTTCGAGCAATTAAGGGGGAGAGTCTAGCTTTACGAGCTCGAAACTTCTTTATGATAGCTGTGATGTGTGGGATCTATGAGAGAGTTTTAGTGAGGGTCACCCCAAGATAAGGGACTTGCTTGGCCCATGGTATTGAGGTTCCATAGAATGAGACATTTTTCTTGAATTTCTATTTCCTTGTCAACATGATGGCCTGTGTCTTGTCTACATTTACCTGGATTTTCCACTTAGTGAGTCAAGTCTCAAGTAAGTGTATGCAATTTTGTAGTCGTTGGATGACTGAACCAGCAAATGCACTTTGGGTAAGGATCGCTGTATCGTCTGCATACATTGCAATGGTTGTGTCATGTGTTGTAGGGATGTCATTCACATAAATGTTAAAGCAGGTGGGCCCGAAAAGGAACCCTTGTGGGACCCCCGTCCCATCAGGGACGGGGAGTGGAATTCGTGCCTGATATGTGAACGACAAAGTGTCTACCAGTCAGATAGGACTTGGTGATGTTTGTGATGTAGTCTGGGAAGCACAGAATGTGTAGTTTGTAAATGAGGCCCCACTCTACCGAAGGCCTTGACGATGTCGATGAAAACTCCACCTGTTGTGATAAAATTATCTTTATTGCCGGGATGTTGCTGTTTTAACGCAACGTTTCCGGCTCTTGACACTTTGGCCCGGAGGGCGCATGATGGTGAATAACGATGACAAGGTGAAAGGAGGCTTGGTAGTAGTAAAAGGGGGTTGACCGCAAGACGTCACAAGTGAGGAGAAATAAGCAAACGCAGCCAATAACCATGAGAAGCGAAGACAGGGTGGAAATCTGACATGTTCAGTTGTTCATGATAAGTGGGTGGTGAAAGAAAGTGTTACACATAAGTTGAATTTCAATTTATTAGTTCAATTTTTAGTTCAAAATTTCAATTTATTTGTTCAAAATAAATACATGAGATTATACAGCAAATATAAATATAGATATAATACATACAAGTAAATACAGTCTATGTATATATATACAAATGACGTTGCACTCATGATACGATTACGTTGGAAAATTCGAGTCTCGGGTGAGGAAGGCCGCGAGTGGTCTGATTCGTGAATCCTTTGCAAATATTATATAGTCGAACACTTTAAAATGTTGCATATGCAAGCAGTTTCTTGCTTTTTCGAAAAACTTTTTATTTGCCTTGTGTAGGAATTCTTCGACTCTGTCGATGCGTAAGTCTCTATGGAGAGTCTCATTGAATACATAAAAGTGTGCATTTGTAATTATCCTGAGTAACTTGTTCTGTGTGACTTGCAATTTCTTGTTGTCACTCTGCAAGTAAGTAGCCCAAGATGGAAAAGCGCAACAAAAAAATGGTCTAATTATAGTCGTGTAAATATGTCTCTCTCTTCTTAAGTCTAACCTGGACGATTTACCAATTAACTGAAGAAGATTTTAATAGCATTTGAGGGTTTACATTTAGCAGTATATATATGGTCTTTCCAGGTGAACCTGGGATTTAAAACAACACCGAGGTAGGTGGCCTTTTTAACTAAGGGAACTTCTACGTCGAAGATTTTAATTTTCTTATCAGTAGGAATTCTTGAATGTTTCTTGCCAATGATGATCAGTTGCGATTTTTGTCCATTAATAGCGATTCTCCACTTTATGCACCAATCCTCTATGGCTAGGATTTTCTCTTGGAGTTTTGACTAACGCGTGCTCCTGGCTATGAGACTTCACAGTAGGAGCCGTGTCGTCGGAGTAGCATCCGAGGTATGAATTGAGATCCGTACAAGTGTTGGGGAAATCTGAAACATAAAATATATATAATATGGGGCCAAGAATAGATCCTTGGGCTACTCCAGCTTCAGAGTGCTCATTGCCGAAATTGACAAAGAACTTGCGATTTCTTATGAAGAAGTTAATCAATAGAATCATATCTCTGCTGAAGTCTAGTGATATGAGCCCCTCATGCCAGACGCAGTCGAATGCCTTCGCCAAGTCTAGCATGAGTTAGGCGACACTTCGATGTCTGAATAGAGCCGATCCGATAAATTCGCAGAGACGCACTAATTGTTTAGTCGTGGAGAGATTTTTACGGAAGCCAAATTCTTCCGGCGGGAGCTTATCCATATATGGTTCGATTCTTATGTAGATGACACGTTCAAAGATTTTGCCAATCGGACGATGTTCTTCCGGTTTGGTGACATATTTTCCGGGCTTTGGCAGTAAGTAAGATAACTTTCGCATTTTTCCATTTGTCAGGAAAGTAGTTATTTTCCAGGAAAGCATTAAGAATGCTGACATATTTCGTGTCAGTGTTAATAGGCATATTTTTAATAGCGACGTTTGTAATTTCATCGTATCCAGGGGATTTGCAGTTTTTCATTTTTCTAATAATGTTCCTGACTTCAGGAGGCGATGTGTATTCTGTACGATTTTTGGCCCCGGGGTGTTTTTCTAAATGTTCTACCATAAGTGCAGCCTTTTCTTTGTTTGTTTGCAACTCTATTGCTGCTATAAATGGGCTTATTACATGGGAGCTTTCGTCGAAATTTTCTCGCAAAGGACCAGAAAGCATTTCCGGGTTCGTTGAAGGTCTCGATTTTATTGTTCCAAGCCTCGTCTCGATGTTTCCTAATGTTCTAATGTTCGATGTTCTCGGTGCTTCTTCATCTGAGCATCTTATCTATTAACATTAATTAGGACCAATGAGAGGGAGCTATTGACTAGGAAAAGAGAGTTTCCGAATAACGGGGCCGAAACAAAGAAGACAGATAATTCTGTTTCGCACCTGCTAAAACTTTCTGTCTCCAGAATGAAAAAGTAATCTTAGGTGGGAAAGAAAAGGGCAATTTAATGAAAAATATAAATTCGTAGCATTTGATACGAAATTCTTAAGCCAGATAAAAAAAGTGGTTTAAAAAATAATAATAAGTTCTGATAAGCAACAAATAATCAGGAGCGCTCAATTACTGGAACGAAGCAGTCCGTTATTTTAGATTACGTTGAATTCCGTCATTTACATGAGATTAGTATTTCTATTTCCTTACTCACCACAATAAGTACAACAAGATGAAAGAGAAGCGCAGAGTATCCTAACCATTAATCTATCCTAAAGTGCAGTGAACAATGTTCCAACGTATAAAGAAGTCCATATGATTTATCACATAATTTGCCCCTAATGTTGTGTTCTAAATACTTAGTGTGGTGAGTAAGGAAATAGAAATACTAATCTCATGTAAATGACGGAATTCAACGTAATCTAAATTAACGGACTGCTTCGTTCCAGTAATTGAGCGCTCCTGATTATTTGTTGCTTATCAGAAGAAAACATGAAGCTAATCAAGTTGGCGTTTCGAAAATTCATTAAGTATGCTTGCAATAGTGAAAAGCTCCGGCAAAGCAAAACGGAGAGGAAACAATGAATGTCCATTTTGATATAGGAAATTAAGCTAAGACAGAAAACCAAAAAAAAAAAAAAAAAAGGCGGGGTCTAATCATAGAATGCAAGTTAATATGCTTGCTTCTACCATGAGACAGAAAAGAAGAAACACAAAAACAGACGAAAATTAATTTCTGTACAATTTTTAAGACTCAGAAGTCAGTGAGAGGAACTTCGCTAAAGATTGTAATAGTGTACATATTTGTAATGACTTCTACATATTTTCATTCATTCATTATCTTTATTGCCGGGATGTTGCTGTTTTAACGCAACATTTCCGGCTCTTGACACTTTGGCCCAAGGGGTGCATGACAGTGAATTGCGAGGACTAGGTGAAAGGAGGCTTGGAAGTGGGAAGAGAGGGTGACCGCA